ATGTCCAGCCATCTAGAGCTCATGGCACAAAAACAGATCTTTCTGATGCAAATGATGCTGTAACTTGTGATCCGTTTATAAATCAAACTTCTACAACTGCTTTACTCTAGGATTAGTCCCAGAGTGCACAATATTACATTTCATTCCAGGGAAGTGAATTAAAAATAAGAGGTTAGCCACAGTGCAAGGCCGCTTCTCCCTGTATCCAATCTAAACAGGGATGAGCAGGCATGCTCGGTTACTCTTACAGCCTCATGAGACAGTTCCCCATGTGGGGTGACCACACTGCAGCTGGGAAGAAACACACACATACTCTGTTCCATACAAGCAATAACCAGCTTCTCTTCTTCTATGCAAAGAGGCAGGAGAGCAGCACTCTCGTTATTTAACTGGCTTTTGACAGCTGGGGCACAGCAGAGGGACAGAAAGTGTATCAGTGCATGGATGTGCGTGTGAGTGACACAAGGGAAAATAATAGATTGTGTGTGTGTGTGTGTGTGTGTGTGTGTGTGTGTGTGTGTGTGTGTGTGTGTGTGTGTGTGTGTGTGTGTGTCCAACCTGATTTGCATTTGTGGGTGCTCGGCCATGTGCATATGTATGTGTGGCACAGTGGACCAGAACAGAGCTCTGACAGTAGCAGGACTGCTGCTCGCTGATGCTTGCCTGGAGGAGCTGACAGCAGCTTGGCCTGTCAATCACAGAGCATGCCCAGTAGCCCCCTATTCACATCATCCTTTCTTGTTAACTCTAAATCTGGCTGGGTAGTCTTTATATGTGTGTGTGTGTGGGTGAGTGGGGGGGTTTGCATCCTTGTCTCTGATGTGCTTCTGTGTTACAGTCTTCTTTTAGACAGAGATCAATCAAGATAAAGTGATGAAAACCCAGTACAGGATTTGCTAAGAAACATGTCATGCTGTGAAAGTTAATCTGATCTTGTAGTAACATGTTCAAGCATCAGCAGATATAATGCAGTGATGTCAAAGTGAAATTGTTCATCACGGTCAAGAACTATTAGTATCACAATCAAAGGACCTTTCTTGCAAGCCATAGACAAGTCTCCTATTTTTACAAAAAAGTGACAGATTTAGCAGGATGGGGTATATTTTTATCTGTAAAGTCTCTATAACACTCTATGACACAGTCTCTATGACAGAGGGAGAGAACAAGAGAGCTCTTGTGGTCAAAGGTAATTATCTCCACTTGTCACCCACAATGGATGCCTGCTAATGAGAGCTGGACTCATGATTGGTCGCCTGCGGGTGTGTCGAGGCACTCTGGTCTTTTGGTTTTGACAATAGAGCCTCGGTGTGCTGCAGAGACTGAGCAACTGGACAAGTCATTCAACGATGCAAAATGCCAGCCAAAGTGCGACCGCCATCATACGCAAGATCTATTAGGCTCTTAATTATCAGGGGATACAGGGTGGAGAGTGTGCGTGTATTTTGGAATATCACTAAAGTTTTATGAGAGGTGATGCCAAACACTGAATTCTGTCATGGTCTCAATATGATTAATACATGTTCTCTTATGTGCAATATCAAGGTAGCAATGTACAAGAGAGCAACCAAATGCAGGAAGCAGGGACAAGCAGAGACAATAAATTAAAATGTTTTTTGGGGGTGACCCAAAAAACATTGTACCCAAAGTCCAAAAGAGAGTTCCCAAAAGCAGCACATGAACTGAGAGGTAGCCAAATGAAGAGCAAAGAGATGATCCCACTACAGACGTGGAGACACAGGCAGACCATGTACACACAGGATAGAATGTAGAGGTGGGTGGATCGATCCAAATATTGATAATATCGATACCAAAACTGATACAAGCACGATAGGATCGATACTTTGTCATTATCACCTAAGCTCAGTTTGTAACCCACTGAATTGTGTGAGGTTGTTTTAGTATACTTTATTTTGGAAGTGAAAAAATGTGCCTTAAACCTGCACTATAATAAACAACTGAACCTTTGTGTGACTGCCGTGTCTTTTTTATTTATAGCCTATAGCACATTTAAACAACAGAAGCTGACCCAAAGTGCTTTAGAGATGAACACTGCATCTCTGCTGCATTCCAGCTCTCCAAAAGACCCAGTTTCCAAATACATGAAAAGCTGAAAGATGTGATTTGTTTTATCAACTAATTATTGTGCAAAGTAAAAATCACAGTGATTTAGTGGTCATTAAAATATGTTCATAATTTGCAAATTGATGTTGACTCAGCTCATAAATCATGCTGCTGTCTCCTGTATAAGCTGCCTCTATAGTATAAGTATTGGTATTGGAATCTGCAATACTGACCCTTGTTATTGGATTGATAGCAAAAATTTGCAGTAAAGCAAGGCACTTGCAGAAAGACCACAGGTGAAACCAATGAGTGAAATCAAAGGAAGCAAATATACAGGAGGAAAGTAACTCTTCAAGGCAATGCATAGGATAAGATAGAAGATAGGGAAGGAAAGAACATCAGAAGCAACTAATTTTAGAGGGTTTTTTTTTTTTTTAGCAGTTTTGGGTCTTGTGCCTGTAGCCTTTGGTTCTGGTTGAAGATTTTTTTAAGTGTCTGTCCGCTTACATAAACCAAACATAAAATGTTGCACCTACATTTATTTTAGGTTTTATGTAATGTATTTCCCCATAGTTAATATTAATGCAATAACGAAGCAATAATTTCAACCTCGATGTCTATTACAGATTTCCATCAAGAGTCTTCAAACTGCGAATATGTTTTGTTTTTTGCTTTTTCCCCTCAACATCACTGTTTGTCTATTACTCCGCTGGTTTTAAAACCAGCAAACGATCTACAGCAGGAGGGCTTCACGAGTTGAAGAAGATGGCTGAGTTTCAGATTTATGAAACGTGTGATCTGTGTGCTTTTGTGCCCAGGAAAAATAAAACACTTCTTAAACCACCAATAGCTCAGCACAAATTGCTTTAACCTTTGTAGAGCACCACTGTGACTTCACTCTTCTTTGTATTTATAGCCTTTGGAGTGTTTGCCAAGCAATGCGAAAACATTTTCATCTTTTTCTTCGACATGACGCTTTCATCATCTCATGCACCATCTTTTTTTTTTTTTGAAAATCACTTGTCCTTCCTGGACACTTCACTTGAAGCAGTCCAAAAACTTACTGCCATGAGGACGCTACAGCAAGCAGCAAACACCGAGTTTTCTTTCTTTTTTTGTGATCACTTGATGGATTTTGTTGCATAACAAACTGTGCAGCTGAAGTTTGCTGTCTGTTATCGTTGAAGAGTTTAGGTGATGAGGAGATGGTGGAGGACAGACTTCTCTTTTGTAGACAAGAGACTTTTAGCATGTGAAAAACATTCAGTTTGACTGGCAGCCCCAAAAGATAATATTCAGTATTTGTACAAATTGTAGCGTACATTCATTAGAGTTACGACTCTTGAAAATGCAGTGGGCATGCTAGCTTTTTATTTTTTGTTTCCTTTTGAGTACACCATGTCTACATTACCAGCTACTTGTTAAAAAATAAAGTGGCATTACAAAACCAAGAGAAGATGTGAGAAAATTGGCAAAATGTTTAAAGGTTTATAGAAATGTTTTCCCGTACCTTTAATTGATTTATTTTTAAAAGTTTCACGGGTGCTTTCAAGTGCTTTTCAATTACAAGACCACCCGGCAGGATCAAGAGTGCTCCAGGAGAAAGAGAAAGCACCAGCAGGAGATTTTTGGTGGTGATGATAGTGATGATGAAGGTTCCTGGTTGCCACCTTTAAGCACTTCTCCCCAAGCAGTTCAGTAAAATGGCTTTCTAAGTAGTCCTAGCTAAAGCAGACCAGCTCTCCACTGCTATTTTCACATGCTCCATCAGAGCAGAAATGACTAAGCTCATTTCTGCTCTAATGGAGCAAATCAGAAATCAATCTGCTCCATTACTCTCTAAGCACTAATACTGCCAAGAGTAATGAACTTCTTGGAAACATCACTGTCCAAAGAGGCTTGAATCACATCCTGACGGGACCAGGAGAAGAGTCAGCGCACAGAGACACCGCATTCTTTGCTGTGGTGCTGCACCACTTCCTGCTGTCAATAGGACAGTACAGGGTGACCTCATTCCCAGTACTGAACCCCGTGCCACCACTGCCACACGCCCCAATGGCGGAACAATATTCTGGATGCAGCAGAGCAACAAGCAGTGTTCCCTAAACTCCTCTGACCCCCTTTGCTCAAACACCTGCCAATAAATGGGTCCTTCAACGAGAAAGAGTTATTATTCACGTTTGCTTGTGTTTTCTTGTGTTTGAGCGAAAGGCTGTACTCCCTCTTTGACTGTTTTCTTACATTACGTTAGTATTTTAGGACGCTGAAATATGTCTAAAAAGTTGAATACATTTTTATCTTGGTCCTTGTTGTTTAATTAGCTCTTACCTTATACCTCATATCTTTCTTTGTTTACATGACTGGTTCTCCTTTGGTGTGTTTTATTTAAAAAAAAAAATCTTTTTCAGTTGTTTTAATTTTTTTTTATCTCCAAGGTTTAATAAGCTGAAGAATTATTTTCACCATTGCTGACCGAACTCTACCTTTTATTTTTGGGTGTGTGTATATAGTGTACATCTATGTTGTTTGTGAATGGCCTTGAAACAGAATGAAATCTTATTATACTCCTCCATTCTTTTTATGGTATGTTTTAATACACATTACGCTGGATTATCTATAAATGTATTAAAAACCATGAAACTGGGGTGAATGTTTTGAGTGTCTGTTTTAAACCAAAGAACTACTTTTCCCATAATCCTTTGCTTTAAAAGAAGCCGACCGGATGTTGATAATTTGTTGTACATTTAAAGTGTGACATTTAAAGTTCATACGTAACTTCTATGTTTTTTAGGTTTCCGCGTCCTGTTTAATCACACGTTTTGACAAAAACAGTCAAAATTGGCCATGTTTCGCATTTGTTCACGACATTTGAACACAGTCAATTATTTAGTGCCGCACTGGTGCAATGATAAAGAGAAAAAAGCAGCAGTCTTCCAAATTGCATTACTTTCCCCCTGGAGCCTCGCCCCAGTACATCGTGTTTTGTAGAAATAACTCGTGTAGTGGTAGTAATAATACTGATACTTCTCTAATACTTAAAACACAAAGATGAAGGGTTACCCAGATTATGTCGCTGACTGTGCTGTGCGCTCTCTGAGTTAATGTATTGACCGACTGTTACTTGAAGGCAACACAAGGTAAACGTCAAGAATGTTTGATTGTTGAAATCTTTGTGAACGGCTATGGAAGGAAGAGAGTTTTTCCTCGTCAGTGGATTCATTGATCTACGTTCACTGTAAATTTTGTCCTCTTTGATCGCTCGGTTTTTGCACAGCAACCATTACGGAAGCTAACAGTTCATGTTTTGACAGCTCAGCCTGTGTCTGCTAGCTAGCTGCCTACCTAACACTAACTATTTATCGTTAGCTAACACTGACAGCACTAGCTGTGGGAGACTGCTCAGTTTATTGAACAAGGACTTGGGAAAAGACAGTTTCTTCCTGGCAGCTGGCTTAAAGTACGCTTACGTATGTCAGAATTCGTTTACCTAATGTAATGTCGAAATGCCTTCAAAGGTAGCAAGGTTGGAGGGCTAGTTTAGCTAGCTTCAAATGCACAATGAAATATCAAAGGTTACATTGGCAAGACAGAAAACGCTACACTTCCTTTTCTCTTCCCGTACAGTATTAATAAGGCCACATTATTGTCAGAACTGTAGTATTTTTTACAGTATTATTAGTATTTCATGTGTACAGTTAAAGCTAATATTTTAGTTTTATCAAAACGTGGTTGTTGTCTAAACATCACTGGCTTTAATGTAATTGTTTTTTAATGTTAAAGGCGGTTAATATAGGGTTGGTGGGGACTCGTGTCCTGTTATTGCTTGTAGGGCTACTTGTTTGTTTACACATAAGCACAGGATGTCCCTGGCAAACGTGTACTGCTCACTGCAGCCTACAGCTGGGTCAATCTGTGATACTGAAAACCTGTGAGGCAGGAGTGTCAGGCACCAGACCCAGAAGTTTCTGGTATCATGTAGCCACTCTTGATTTGTGGCTACCAGGCACCATTAAGTACCAGGATGTCTTGAAACCTGAATATTGTAGTCAGTGCTAGCGATTTCTGATGGTGTCAAGCGTTAACATGGATTTAACCTCTACAGTTTGCATTTTGGTTTGATAAATGTCTTGCCGTGTTTCATTTAATCACAAACTACCGCATGTAGTTATGAAGAAATGCCACACGCAAGCAGCGGTACAAGGCTATACCTTTCGAAGATTGGCAGCTGCAGAAGTGCTTGGTTTGTTTGCAGAATAAGTATTCATTAAATAAGCAAGTCTTCTTCTCAGAAAGTGTCAAAGTGGTTAAAATAGTGAAGAAATCGCTAGAAATTAGATCCAGCTTCTTGCTGTAATTTGTCAATGTGTAAAAAGGAATCATTTGTCTACAAGAAAGCATCAAAATGTAAAAGTAAGTATACATGTATAGTCATGGTAAGAAGAAGCTGCCTGTCTTTTAATTAACATAATTTTTTATATCAGCACAAATTGCAAAACATGGTTCTTAGTAAGTCTTACCTTTTAAACAAATATAACCTCAGATAACCAACAACATTTTACATATTGCACAACATCATTATTTGCAGAAGCAGAAAAGCTTCTGCTTTTTCATTAACAAATGAAAAAGCAGAAGCTCTGGGAGGTTACTGGTACGGACAAGCCAGGTGTGTGTTAACACAATGCTAGAGAGGAAATACATCAGCAGTGAGCTTGGAGAAACAACTGTTGCTGTCCATCAATCTGGGAAGGGTTAAAAGACCATTTCCAAACAATTTGAAGTCTATCATTCTAAGTGGGAAAAAAAAGTGCAAAAACATTGAAGACCGTTGCCAATTTTCCCTGGAGTGTATCTCCCAGCAGATGCATCCCAAGGTCAGACTGTGCTTGGAGACGGTACAATTGGAAGAAGTATGGCTTGTTTAGAAGGATTTCAGGAGAAAATCTCTTCTTTCTAAAAAAAACCAAAACAACACATGGCAGCTCAGCTTAGATTTGCAAAGTTACATCTGAACAAAGCACAAGACTTCTAGAACAGTGTCCTTTAAACAGACGAGCTAATATGGAGATATTTGCCAGTAATGCATGGCGGTGGATGGGTGATGATTAGGGCTCTAAAAGCTGCTGAAACCAGGCATGTGCTTAGTCTTTCACACACTGCTTCTGTATTTTTGGCTTAATTTTTGTTAAATGAGTAGGGATGCGTCATATGTCATGTGATGTTGTTCTTCTGACCTTGCATTTATCTGGTTTTAAGACCTGCTACAGGGTGGATGATTTTATCTTTTGTCCTGTTATGTAAAAACCTTATGTTGAAAGCAGGTCTTTTTTTATGACAACCCCAAAGAAATGTATTGAATGTATTGATTATTTATTAGTATAATCATGCACAACATAAAGTAGCGCTTTCTCCACATGGAACGTTTTTTTGTTTTGTTTTGGTTTTACAATCCTTCAATTTATATTCAGCCAAAAATGTATTTTTGCTTCTTGCTATTTTCATTTAAATTTAGGATTCAGATATCCAAAATGATCAAGTTTATATCGGGACCAAGCAGAAATTGGTCCCTCTGTGGTGTCTTAGACCTGCTGTCTTGCTCTTCTCATTCTTGTTTGTCTCTGCCTAACCCACAGGTCATGCATGCAGCCAGCCTTCTAGCCTGCGCTTTGTTCATCCCCAGCGCTTGAGATAATGTTCTACCCGTAGGTGGAGGGTTATCCTCCTACTCCGTTTCTCCCCACTGCCCCCATCAGTCCCAGAGTTCCCTATGTTAACCCTGTTGAGCATGTTTTACTATATCTGTCTGCGGCGGCGCTCCAGGAGTGGAACTCGAGGCGAGGCTCTGACCAGTCGACGGGCTGTGGAATCTGGCCAGAGAGCAGTACTGCCAGTCAGTGTGGAGGTGGAGCAGTACGCCAAAGAGGTTTTGGACTTCAGCTCCCACTATGGCAGTGAGAATAGCATGTCTTACACCATGTGGAACCTGGCAGGGGTGCCTAACGTCTACCCCAGCTCAGGGGACTTCACCCAGACAGCTGTATTCAGAACTTATGGGACGTGGTGGGAACAGTGTGCCAGTGCTCCGCTGCCTTTTCGTCGCACTCCTAAAGGCTTCTACAGTAAGGATTACATTGAGCTAGGCTTTGAGGAGCCCGTCTACCCGACAGCAGTGGAGGTGTTTGAGACCTATTACCCTGGAGCCATCGTCCAGATCCTGGCCTGCTCTCATAATCCTTTCACCCAGAATCCGCCTACTGATGTCAGGTAACAATAGTTCCTCCACACTATGCCATTTCTAAAACTTTACAATACCAGTAAATTGCACAGTTTTCGATTACATAACAAGGCTTCAGTGTTTGGATAAAATCCAGTTGGCATTTCATGGAGTAAAGTACTGCTTGGCCAGAATTTCCACCAGAAAACTACCAGAAACCTGGCAGAGGATGCAATGGGATTAGCTTATTACAATTCTTTATCACGAAGATTAGATGATTAGATGATTAGATGATTTCTTCAACAATCTACCTGCTATAGCACTAACTGCTAATTGTCAAGGGAGTCACACTGCACAGTGGAGCTGCATATATGCAGAGACTGAGCTTTTTTTAATTTCTTAGTTCCGACTTATGTATAGGAGAGCACTGAATCATATTTAGCCATGTTTGCATGCAGATAAATGATTTAGGCTACCTTGATTAGAAAAAACTAAACTGATAAAATTGTATAAAGTCTTAAGATTTGCCTGGATCTTTATTCACTTTTTACAGTAGCTTTAGCTTGGTGTTTACTGCCTCGTGTTAGGTGTTGCCTTATGTTGCCTTGGTCCTGCTCTTGGTGCAGTGTCTCAGTTCATTACTGTCCGAAACAAGTCATAGAATCCCCTCCCCCACAAGCCTGCTTTCCTCTGATTGGCTGCCCCTTTCATTGAAAACATTTTTTTAAAAACGTGTAGAGCAAGATTACTAAATGGGGTACATTGTCATTGACACCATAGAGAGCAGAGTATCAGCTTTTACTCTGAAGCCTCAACCTCTGGCTTGTAAGGATTATTTGTATGTCCACTGAGACACACAGGGAGCCAGCAAAAAAAGAAGTGAGACAGAAGTCAGGGTATACAATTCTGATGGAATATGGATGTGGTCAGCTGCTAAAAGCCATTCAAAGTAGTCCCACTATTTAAGAGTGCATGATCAGGAGGACAAAGGAGGAGGGGGGAACAACTAAGTTGTAGTGCCTCTTCACCTCACTGTACAATACCTTGTGCAATACTTTTTGTAAATAGTCAATGGTGCAATAGACCTCAATACTTGACATGTGCAATTCACTTGTATTTCTATTTTTATTCCTATTTATTCTATTTATCCCCTTTGTATATTTTATTTATATTTGTCTCTGTATTTCCCAGAGGAACCCACCCAAGGGATTAATAAAGTTCTATCTTATCTTATCTTATCTTATCTTATCTTATCTTATCTTATCTTATCTTATCTTATCTTATCTTATCTTATCTTATCTTATCAACACTGGAGTTTTGGACCTGATACAGATTTTTAGAGAGTGTAAAGTTTTGATATCACTATATCATTAGTCTTTAGAATACTATAAATGCCTGATTTGTATGTTTGATTTATATTGAAAACAGACAATGATGGGGTTGTTATTTAGTAACTTTCCAATGTGTTTCACAACCTGTGAACATGTGTTGCATAAAGTACTGATAGTACTGCAAACAACAGAGGGAAAACTGCTCTGCTTGCTGCTTGTAAAAACATCATTTACAAGTTACACCGCACAGCTTTAAAAAAAATTTTTTTTTTTTACTGTAATAAAGACAGTTTTCATATCGGGGTATATCCGACAACATATATGGTCAAATCCGTCTGTCTCTGCTTATTAGAAATATGTTAAGATAAAGTCAAGTATTTATTTATTGTCATTGTGAAAGAGGCAAACACTGTTGTGCACAATGCCACACACAGGCTCAAGAACATTGTTAGGACTGTATTTTCCTGCTGCTTTCAACGAGTACCTAGAGTAGTGCAAAGTAGTCTTAATAGCATTATATAGGTTAAAGAATGTTATTTTTATATTTGCACATGTTTTGTGTTGTCCAGGTGGGAGGTGTTGTGGTCTGGTGAGCCCACCAAGGTGCTGACTCCACAGGCTCGCCAGTTTTCCCCTAAAATAAAGCATATCGGCTTCCCAACCAACCTGTTGCGTCTAGAGGTGAACAGCTCTTTGCTGGACTATTACACCGAACTGGATGCTGTTATCCTGCGTGGGGTAAAAGAGAGGCCTATGCTGGCTCTCTATAAAATGCCCATCATCGACATCAGTGACCTGAGCGACAGCGAAGAGGAGCTGTCTGATGTGGGAGGTCCTTTCAGGCAAGGAGATGGCAAGCACCAGAGGACAGGAAATGGCTACTTTGACAAACTGCCATATGAGGTGATCACAGTCCTTAATAACAAATCAGAAGGCTTGCGTCATCCAAGCCTGGGTTGAAAGTTTAGATACGCACAATGAAATAAAACTGCATTTTTAAATTTTATTTTTCAGATGTGATCTTGTTTGCTTAGTGGTACAGACAGGAGTATTTTCGATCAGTACCTCTTTAATAAATATTAGGTTTAACCATTCCCTATCACACTCTTCCTATTTTGACAAGCACAGAGATCCAACCTGACTCCTCAGCTGCCGCCCTCATTACTTCTACAATTAAAGCCTGAAAGTTGCAATATCTAAAATTTCTTTTTTGAAGATGTTCCAGTAGCATGCACTAGTCTTACATATGGGTTGAAGGTGCTGCAGTCATTTCTCTGCACACAAAACATTTGCAACGCTGATTATTTGAAGTGTTTTAAAGCTTTCCTTATGCACATCAAGTTTTTTCCTTATTATATGTGCTCAGCATGTGTGCACACGTGCACTTTTTTGTTGTTGTTGTAAAAAATAAAAAAAAAACGTGTCACACACGAACACTGCGGGTTGAACCATTCTTGCACTTTCTTGATCTTGCACTCACAGACAGTCATTTTCATGCCATACAGATGTATCATGTTGTCTGAGGCGAGCTTCAAAACACCAGCAGTACTCTTGATAGTTGTTCTCTTATCTCCTATCCAAACCACTGCCATTAACAGCAGTCTTCACAACCGCTGTGTGTTTGTTTCAGAAACACAATATAGCTATTATCTGTCAGCTGATACCAGCTTGAACACAGTGTATTGTTAATCCACTGTGACACACACACGCACAACCATTCTTTCTCTTTGAGAGACACACGAATGCGGTGCAAAACAAGCCGGCTCACCGCTGATCCTGCTATCGGTGCTGTGTCTCCCAGATAACCACTATTTAGATCTGCCTGACAGAGGGGACGCAATTAACATTCTCCACTCTACACTGAACTATTTTCTCTTCTCTGCTAGGTTCCACTATTCTTTAATGTTCTCTATTATGTGTTATTTTCTGCTTATGTTTTCTTACAAGACCAAACATGTCTTGTCTCTCACCCTCCTCGTATCTTACCATTTCTCCTCTCCTCTCCTCTCCTCTCCTCGTCTCCTATCTTAACCCCTCTCCCCCGACTCCCGTCCACAGCTCATCCAGCTGATACTGAGCCACCTGACCCTGCCAGACCTCTGCCGTCTGGCCCAGAGCTGTAAGCTGCTGCACCAGCACTGCTGTGACCCGCTACAGTACACCCAGCTGAGTCTGCAGCCTTACTGGGCCCGGCTGAGTGACGCCTCCCTGGGACACCTGCAGAGCCGCTGCACCCTCCTCCAGAGGCTCAACCTGTCCTGGACCGGCAACCGTGGAGCCCTTACCCTGACGGGCTTCAGCAGGTCAGACTATCAGCGGGCCACGAATGGCAGCAAACAGGGAAATGACCTTGGAAAGTAGCAATAGATGTAAAAGCACTTTTTCAAGGAGGAGCATACTGAAACAAAGAAAATCAGTTTACACATTCTTCTGTAACTGATTGAAAAATAAATTAAGAAGAGGATGAAGGACTACTGGGGAATTGATGGCTTTTTTGTTCGTTTTTGTTTTTGGCCTCTTGTCACTCATTTCTCTCAATCTCCCGCCTTAGTTTCATGAAGGCCTGTGGTCCCAGCCTGGTCTGCCTGGAAATGTCATGCTGCCACTTCCTGAACGAAGCCTGTCTCGAGGTCATCTCCCAGACTTGTCCTGGACTCCAGGAGCTCAACCTGTCCTCCTGTGATCGTCTCCCCCCACAGGCCTTCATGCACATCTCAAAACTTACACGCCTCCGCAGGCTGGTGCTTTACCGAACAAAGATAGAGGTATGCGCTGCAAACAGTGTCTCTGCGAAACTAATCAGAGTGATTCGCGTGGACTTCGATCTGTCTTGTTTAAATATAGAGCAGGTCAAATTGTTGTTTGGTTAATGATATATCCGATACCCTGGCTGTTTATAATTTGCAGACTGCTCCTTTTTCTAAATGTATAAAATGTTTTATTCACCATTGATGCTGAAAATTACAAAAAGATTTTTAAAAAATGAATTATCTTTCATATTTTGAATATATAGAATGTCAGAGATTTTCAAGAGGTAGATTCCACACGGTGGAAAGGTCAGAGAATTTAGTCACTTTTCTGATATTCAAGCAACAGAATTTGATCAATTGTATCTAATAAAGCAGAAAATGCCTTTTGGGTTTGCATCAGAAAGGGCGTCTGGCAAATCAAACATGAGGAGCTGCCCACTGTGCCGACCCCTTGAGATAAAAGAGCAGCCAGAGGCAGCTTTTATCTTCTTAAAGGGGACCTGCTCATCGCCAACTCTGTACTTTTATTCTTGGACTGTATTAGAGTAGTTTTGCATGATTCACAGTTCAAATGAATCCTTTATCTTACACTAAGCCTTGGTGCAAACCGATTTAGCTCATGTCATAACCTCTTTCATTGCTAGGCCACATGAACTGTTACCAACAGCCTCCACTGGCCTCCTCCCCCCTTTCAGAAACTCAGGTTTTACAGCATTAACATACTGATGACTTATGACTTTTCTGTGATAGGGGATCTGTAAGCAATTAAAACCACATTTTCCTCATTTATAAAGTCTGAGGTCCACCTGTGTAACTGGACTAATATAAAAAAAAAAGATCATCATTTTGTTTTAAAGATGTTTTAATCTTATTTTTTTCATGTTTAGTTAATCATCTGATGACCTCCTTTGTTTCACTTGAAACATGCATATAGTATAGGTTTGAACAAAACTTCCCAAAAATGTGCATTTAATGTAAAAACTAATGATTTCTCCTTAAGAAAGATTTAAGATGAACTGAGTAAACTCTGATTCTACAGGGTGTTGAATATACATCGCATGTATTCAAGCTCAGGCATGTCTGATGTGTAATATCACTGTGCCTTGTTTTGGTGGTGCACCTCAGCGTTTCTCTAGTGTTTGTCATGTTTCAGAGTGACGTTGTGGGCAACAGACAGTGTAGAGTTTCTGCGGTGGAGCCAGGCAGCGTGCTGCAGGTTGTTTACACCCGGACAGACAGAGCGAGCCGTGTGTCTGTTTGAGGCCCTGACATCTCAGCTGTCATTACCTTGTCACTGCTCTAATTAAATGGCTAGCTTACGGGAGAGAGGCACTTATAAAAATGCCTTACACCGAGTCGAGCACACGCGCGCACACGCAGACAAGAGGCTTTCACTTTCATGTCTGACACATTCTCCTACCGCTGAGGTGCATGTGTTGGCAGCTGCAGCACTGAATTCTGATATCTCCATATACTAGTTGTAGTGCTGCTCGAGAGGCCTCCGTTTTCACTTTTTTCACTCCACAAGGAGGTGGAAAAATTGTCTCCTGTGCTTTATTAAAAACCTTTTAATCCTGAAAGTGCTGGGTGTGCCAGGTAACAGACAGGAAGTTACTTAAACGGGAACTTTAGGTGACATGACTGGATTTGTTACCGCTACTAAAACCTATGTTGTTTTAAATTATCTTATATATAGATTTACACTCAGGTAAGATGCTACCGGTGTTTTAAATCTCTTTTGCTCTTTCTACCTACCTGGTTTTCACCTGTGCACCTCTGTCTCTCCTTTCCTCCACAGCAAACAGCCATCTTAAGTATTCTGACTTTCTGCATAGAGCTAAGACACCTCAACCTGGGGAGCTGTGTGAGGGTGAGAATGTGCACACATATGAAGTTTCAAAGAAAGCTACAATCTTAACTATTACCTTTCATTTTGGAAGCTTGTCTAAAAGATGCCAGATAGGAAGATGAAAGAGAGCCCTGTGATCCCTGGCAAATGGCTTAGTCACACTGGAGTAAAAGTAGGACAGCAATCTTATCGTAACTGGGAAAAATCTGTGCTTATATAATTGAATTTAATGTTTTTTTTGCATTAAAAACTGATTACAAGTAGTTGCAGTACCCACTTGTGCGATCGCACAGGTTGTCTGATGGAAGGCATCCTGTCTGCAAACAATGGTGGCCTGATTCAAACTCACTGGAATCACTCTGATTAGTGAAGGTTTCAAGTAAATGATGTTTAATTTATGAACACAAACAGTTTGAAACTGCAGTCAGCGTGTGAGCCAGTCAGCTGGTGGCCAATTGTGTGCGTTCTGGTTATGTTCCTACATAAAGTCAAGGTTTGCTAAGCACCTACAGTATATCACATTGCAGTTAAATCGCTGTCCTGAAGCAGCAAGGTCTCTATTTTTGGAGGAATTGCTTCTGTTGAATTTCTGAGGTTCTCGCTCGACTCTGTAAGTAGTTAATATTGATTTCTGAGTATGTACACTGCAACACATTTGCAATTGTTGACAGTTTGTCACAAGTTAATCACTGTATTAACACAAAATGATTGCATGTAATTGCCAACTTGACCTAGTTCAGTAGTAAGCTGACAGCACAGCTGACAGACTGATAGGCAAATCACTCTTATCACCATCTTGCCACGCCAAAGTCTCTTTGAAGATGGCAACTGACTGGGAGTGGTCAAGACCTGGTCCCTGTCTGTGACAGGATTGCAAGGTCATTGCACAAGGTCACAATCATTTTGGTCATACCTCAACCACCGTTTTTCTTAGTGTGACTGTTGCATAATGCTGTAGTCACACAGGCCTAGACACCATTTGGCCACCATTTAGGATACTCTAGTGGCTAGTGATAAATATGTATACCCTGACTGGTTAGTGAGTGATTACTGGAGGTTTCTGGCTGTTGCCAAGTGAATTCAGATGCAAAGAGGGTGCTGACCATGCACTCTTAGTGTTTGCATGGAAGACACCCATTTGCAAACGCTAATCATAGAACGCTAATGAGATCTGGAAAAACGTGCGTCTTAAGACCAAAACCAAGTTTCACTACTGCTCCATGGTTAGACAGCAGTGACATTAAGCTTCTTCCGTGCAAACTACAGTCAACCATGGCAACTTGCTGGTGGCCAAAGAAGTTTTCAGTGCAGCACCGTGTACCTCTTTAGAACCAATTTCACCCAGTGACAGCAAACGCCAACAACCACTTGAATACCAGTCTGGGAATACACATTTTTCACTAACAGCCGGTGGTTGGCATGGGGTCACTGGCTAATCTTTGTGCAGTCTGTGCTAAGATAAGATAATTGGTTGGTAGTTGTAGACTTCTGTGAGAGCGGTGTCATTCTCCTGTTACTCCTTTAATGATGGCTCATTGAATATGAGGGGAATGGTATACAGCAACTGTTGTGGACAGATATGTATGATGATATTAAAGTACAATACGTTTTATTATTAACATCATTTGGAATTATTAATGAGGCATTTTAATAAATGTTTAGTGTATCATGATGATAATGATGGGGCATCTGTGTGTGTTTAACTCCCTAAAAAAGTTGAATGACTTTGATGGAAATATTGATATAATACATGAGGAAAATCCTCTTGTGGTCTTTCTCAAGACATAACTGTCATCATCAGAAATAAAGTTATGCAACATTTGGCAAGAGAAATGCATAAAGGCAGCGACTCTCTCTGCCAGAGTTTAAATATCCATCACTGCTAACTCTGAGAAATGTTCTTGCTGTCATTTTTGTAGCTGAGTTATCTGCTCGGGCTGTTTTTAGTTGTTAAATTGCATTTCTTTGCTTTCATCTTTGGATGAAACGATGAAATATGGCCAGCATTACCTGACACCAAAGAACAATAACAGCCTCGCAAACATAAATCAGTTCCTGAAAGACTATTTTGTTTTTGTTTTTTACGGTGAAAGTATTCCGCGTTAGTGCTTTGTTCTTTTGCTCTCTCGAGGAAGCGAGGTTACGAGCCACAAGCCGGGTGATGCCGCTAATCAGCTTTTTATTATCGCAGCATTTCAAAAGTTTGTTCAGAATATATTAGATAGACTATTGACTGACTCATCCTGACAGCATCATCTTCCTTTACGTTATCCTAAAGGCACATTTTTAAAAGCCTGGGACTGTGACAGTGTTGTAGATGAGCACAGATCACAGCACCTCTGCCCGTACATCGCTCACACCGACGTGTACAAATCATAACATCTGAATCGACTGCAGCATACGACGAGGGTGGTTTTGCACATTAAAGCGGGTCTGAATCGTCCAAATGTCCCTCTGGGAACTTGCTTGTGAGCTGCAAATGCTGCATATTGTATAGAGAGTAAATGCTCCTGTCTCACTTGCAGATCGAAGACTATGATGTTGTAGCCAGTATGCTGGCCACTCGCTGTCGCTCGCTGTGCTCTCTGGACCTGTGGCGTTGCAGAAACCTGACCGATCGAGGCCTGACTGAGCTCGTCTCAGGGTGCAGGTAGTCACTTGAAGCTACTGTTGTTTATAACACCTGCGGACTCCAGGCATGTGCAAAATAACCATTCATAACAGCTTCTTTTTTTTTTTTAAGTGCTAATTTTGCCCCAAAATAAGATTTCAGGAAGCTCCTCCCCCCTCTCTGCTCCTGCCACCATCTTTTTGCTTGGTGGGGAGTTTTCATAGCTTTCAGTTCAGGATTCTTCTCATATAACATCTTTGGTTGTAAAATTGTCCAGGACATGAAATGGTGTTAGTTTCCTCTGTGATTGCTTTGTTTTTGTTAAAACACTTACACATTAGAGACACTGCATGGTTTCTCTGTGAATATCCAAATTTGTCCTTGCGTCACCCCAGTTTACTTGTTGGCTCTGTTGTTGCTCAGGATGTTGGAGGAACTGGACCTGGGCTGGTGTCCCACGCTGCAGAGCAGTACGGGATGTTTCCAACACCTCGCCCGCAGCCTTCCACGCCTGCGCAAACTCTTCCTCACTGCCAACCGCACCGTCTGCGACTCAGACATAGAGGAGCTGGCAGCCAGCTGCCCCTGTCTGAGGCATCTCGACATTCTGGGTAAGCTCTCCCTCACACATATGTGGAAACAAACGTTTGCCTTATTAATCATTTGTTAATGAGTGTCAAGTTTGTGGTTATTCGGTCATGACTTATGTTTCATCATGTTGGTGTATAAAGCTCCCCATCAGAGCAGCATAGCCACAACTTAACTTTTTATAAGAGACTTTGTCAGTTGGGCAACTGCATTTTTGATTTAGCTCATCGTTCACTTATCATATTCACAGCAGGCCCATTCCCAGTGTAGCATTTGAGGGGTGAAAAAAACCTTCAAGTTAACCTCGAACACAAACTCAAATAATCAGCTTAATATTGCTATACAGTAGTGCTCAGTAAGCAAAGTTACAGCAGCACACCATAGCAGTAACACTCTAGTTCCAGTTGCATAAGTTGGTGTTTTTGACAGCACAGTAGCTTCAGTGTTAGTCAGGCTATGCTGATGTGTCAGTTCTTTAGTTATTTCAGATGTGCTTCAGTGGTTGACTCGCTGGAAGGTGTGCAAATGATTTTGGTCTGGACTCTATGATCTGTGTGAACAGGCAGAGAGGAACTTTACTTCATTTACAAAGAAAATACACACGCAGTTTCCTTTTTAAGAAGTAGCCAGACATAAAAATATCATTGTTTTTATTTCACAGCTCTGTGTTTTGTTTTATTTTTTATGCGTTTTTTGTGAAGTGTTTTTCACCTTCTGTGTGTCCCTGTTGTGATACGTCTGCCGGACAGGTACACGGTCAGTGAGCGCCGCCTCACTGAAGAAACTCCTCCAGTCGTGTCCTCAGCTTGTCCTCCTGGACGTCTCCTTCTGCTCACAGATAGACATGCGCATCGTCCAGGAGCTCTCTGGCCTCTTCCCCAATGTGGCCATCAAGAAAAGCTTCACTCAGTGACCCCAGCATTGGCTCATTTCCCACTACTGAGATGTAGCAAGTGGAGGGAGGTACTGGTCAGCACATACTGCCCCAGAGTGATTCAGAGGCAGGTCAGATGCAGGAGGAGATTGCAGACCTGCCTCTGCTTGTATCACGGACGAGATCTTCTTTTAGCGGTCAGTATAAAAAGCGGTGGGACTGGGTGAGGAGGATTTTACTGGCTTTACTGATTTAGTGAACCTAAATGACTACAGATTTGTAGGAGCAGGATTATACAACATAAGACACTTGTATTTTTGGGTGGGGGTTTTGTTTGTTTGTTTTTTAAATCAGGGTTGTTGCAGTGAAGCTGCCACATGTTCCCACAATATGAATCAGCACTTACAGTATGTATTGCCAGATAACACACGGCAAGGAAATATGCCTTACCACTAGAAATCACACATGAAAAAAGCAACATTTGAGAGAAAACTTCTTTTAAGCATCTTTTTAGGAAAACAAATGGAACACAAAGCATTCTTACCTGTTACTGGACTTCACATAATAATATTAGCTACATATCAGGGCCTTGGTCAGTGCCTTGTTTGATTGTGGAATATGAACAGGCTGGTTTGTACATGAAGGTCTTTCCGGTGGTGTTTATCACCATTCACTCACTTTCATTGAATCATAGTGGATGGTGTTGTGTTCAAAGGGGCTTTAAAGGTGAAAACAGCTGCACTAGATGCAATGCACTGTGGTTAGTGTTATTCTTTTATTTTTTTTACTTTAATGAGACTATCACAAGTTAATATGTGTTGCTACAAACTGCAGGATCATCATTAAATGTCCATGCACTAGAGATTTAGCAATGGCGTGTTTCCATCAATGGGGAAAAAAATTGTTTTCATTTCCACATGCTCTAAAATTGCAGGAGTACAGAAAACACCTAAAGGCATCAAATTCAAAAGATATGCACACTGACTCTTTTGAAATAAAAGCGCAGAGAAGTAATGAAGATCTTATTTAAGATGACATGAAACAAATCTAAAAATCTTTTCCTCTCCAACTCTCAGTTAGGCGCTTTTGGTCCAGCAGTTAATATTTTTACTAGGATAATATGAAAGAATTTCCAACTGTATTACCTGGGCAGCTGTTAATGTGTCACCACATATCAGACACTTCAGATGAATGTAGTAATATTCTATATTAAGTCCGAGTGTTAACAAGTAAGAAATACAGGGGTAGTTATTAACTAAATTTATGCTATATGCATGTGTGGAACTAGAGGCCTTTGTTGGAATACTGTAGAGAAAGTCATCTGCAGCTGAAGCAGTTGAATGTGTTTGGCTGTATACAGTACATCAGACAATTCAGTGGACTAAATGAAATAGAAAGTGTTAATAATCGGGGTGCTTGCTAATTGGTTTTGTTCAGACCTCATAGGTTGTGTAAACATTTCAGCGTAGGCAAAGTTTTGTTTCCCCAAGTTTGAAAGTCACTGGCTCCTCCGCCGAGGTGAGAGCTCAGGTGGGGGAGTGTTTTCAGTGCTGTTTTTCTGTCAGCAAGTTTACACAAGCTGAGTTTCATGAAACTTGGAGAGCTGGGCCCAGGCATTAAAATTAGCTGCAAATGCACAACACCTTCTTTGAAAGTGCAAGATAGGCCCTCTGCAGTGTCATAATGTTAGTGCTGTTTCTGTTGTCGTTCCTGTTGAGTTCTGTCACTGCTGTCTGACTACAGCCGACTACATAACCCACTCCGATCAAATTCCACCGCTGAGAAGGAGTGCTGTAAATTAAGCCGAGGACGTAATGTTAACGTGTAACGAGTGTAAGTACGATATGTGACCTCAGTATTTGTCCTCAAACTCAGGGGCTATATATAATCTCATGTTCATTAAATGTCACTTTTTTAAAAACATGTTTTACTCCAGAAACCAGCACAAAGGACATCTTTACAGAAAGTAACACCAGACTTGAGTTAGCTTTAAGGTTACCGGGCTTTGGTGTTGCTCACAACAAACACACACATGACACAAATCGTCAGTTTGCGCTGGCGTAACAGAGACGTTAATCAGAGCTTATTGAGTGTTGAATGTTGCAGTAATTGTATGAAAAATGTACTGCTGCTGATTATTTATTTTTTGTAATATATGAAGCCAAGGCTGCAGTGTGGGAGAAGTGCTTGAAGAGCATTTTTGTGTTTGAAACAAACTTGAATTTTTAGTTGAAGCACATGCTACTAGTCAATATTTGTGCCTTATGCTCCTGTTTGAATGTTGTGTCCAAGTGGTTTAGATTGTGGTGAAGTGCTTCGCTTTTTTTTTTTTTTTTTTTTTTAATGCCCTTCAACCAAAGTAATACCACATTAATCTGGTCGTCATCAGTCTCACACCTATATTTGACCAGTTTCTGTGCCATATACCTTATATCAGCCATGTTAATTATTGCAAAATATAGAGCTATATATGCAAAAAATGGTTTATTTATATTTCCCTCGGCAATGAAAATGTTATTTATACTCATTATTGGTGGATGTTTAAATGGTAATATACAATTTGGGGAACTGTTTCTTGGGTTTTTTGGTATTTTGCCTAGCTTAGCACTAAGACTGAAAGTATGCCTTTACCCTAGCCTAACATGAAGTGGAAATGTGTTTTTAGCCTGGCTCAGCATAAAGACTGAAAACATGCCTTTAGTCTGACTTAGCAGTAAGAGTGAATGCACGTCTTTACCTTAGTTTAGTTTACCTTAGTTTGTGCAATGCTAGTCCACTAAACCTCAAATCACACGGGCCTACAGACCAATCAGCAACCTGCCCCCCGGTAACCCAAAATACTCCAGAAACGTAAAAAAGACTGAAATTCAGATTTGCTCAGTGATCGATGTTAGAGAATGTACATATTTTCCCATCTGCCAGTTGTTTAAGCTTTAAGAAATAAATATGGCAGCGACATTTGCGTTCTGCAGCTACAGTCATTACCTTTCTAAACACCTTAAAAATGACTTCCTACTCTGTTCCTGCTTCCAGTCTCTGTGCTGAGCTAGGCTAAACCCAGAGCAGTCCTGGCTGCGCAGAAGTCAATCACATATCGATCTTCCAGTCTTGTTATTGGTGTGGGTATGGTAAATTGCTGCATAAGAGTGGGAAATTAATACTTGGTTTATTTCCAGCTTTGTTATAAACAGGTGTGGTAACAGTATGGCACACCAGGCCTTTCACTAATGCATCAGTTTTGCCCCGCCCACCCAAATTTTTAATACATTTTGATGTTTGTTTTTTTTTAATTGTTATTTATCCAGGTAAAGCTCTCATTTCGAAGACCTGCTATCATGTAATTATGTAATTATGTCAGTAATAACTACTGCACCACAATAAAAACACTGTCACTGTTATACTTTGTACAGCAACTATCTGCAACAGCATTAATTTGCAAAGGCAAAACTATTTAAAAAGTGAGCACCACTCTCAGATCATCACTGTTTGACCAGTGATGCAGTTTGGTGTATTTTTCTGAGGTGGCCCTATGCTTCTTTTTTTCTTCCTCTAATGAATATGCAGTCTCTCTTCTCCCACTCTGGATATGTGATCAACCTTTGTGCCATGAACTGGGAGGACCTGCAGCGGCGCTCCCTCCGCTGCAGCGTGAAAGCCACTGTTGTGTAAAGAGATTGTGTGTGTCTCTGTCGCGATGAAATGCGGTGCTTCACTTTCACCAGGTTTTAAATAAACCGAAGGCTGATGACTGAGTGTGTGTGGCTCATTTTTGATCCTGTAGGAGCAGAGATGTAAGCAGTCTGACTGTAGAACAAAGTGGCTGCGAAGGCATTAACTCGCTCATATTCTATTTTCTCTTATTCTTCAGCTTCATTGAACAGCACGCCACTGCCGCCGAAACAAATGGAAATTGCTCCGCTGTATCATGTTGGGGCTTCTTAAGAAGAGAGTCGTCTAAGTGTGATTTGGGGTTGGAGGCGTGGGGGGGGAGGGGGGAGTAGGCTCGTCTACTGAATCCACAACAACTAGCAGAGCCATTAGTCAGGATGAGTGACTGGATAGTCGTTGCGGAATGATCCTTTTTGCCTTAACCCTCTGCCATTTTACAGTCTATTAATACCACAGGGAGAAGTGACATTAGCTTGTCTTCTTAACGGCCTTTTAATGAATTGTTTATGCCTAGTTTAATGATGTATATTGTGGCCCTGTAATGTGCCCTAATGATGGAGAACGAGGCGGCCTCGGCTGAAGTATTAATTTGGACTGCCTCCCCAATGATTATTCCTCAGCCACTAACGTCGCCGCCGCCGCCGTGCGTGCTTGCGCGCGAGCGTGGATGCAAACGTGATTCATGGAGGCTTTCCGCTCTGCACTACAGCTTGATTTCTTGCTGTCACGCTCCTCTACGAGCCTGATATATCCAGGGGGGGTTCCACAGCAATTAGTTCAGCTTTTTATTTGTCTTTCAAGTGCCTACAGACATAGCTTGACGAATCTGCAAGGGGAATATATGGATGGAAATATTGTTCCTGAATAATAAATCCAGCGTTTAAAAAGTAAATGGGAGGGGGGTAGGGAGTGGTGTCACAAGGTCTCTCCGTTCCTTTTTGCCCCCCCCCTCCCTCTTATCTCCAGATGGTGTGAGTGACACAAGAGCATACCTGGACAAAGCTGACAGCAGAAACAGTCTTCTCTGTGGTCTACCTCCTCTGAGCCCTCCTCAGGCTGGGATTCGACAGGCCTCAGACCTGCCTGAGGGAGACCTCACCGTGATACCCATCATTATGTGGCTTGGTGCTGCTTCTCTAGTTTCCCTCCTTGGACTCTAATAATGAAGACATCCCTGGCAGTCCTCACCGTTGTGTCTGAAGCTTATTACTTTTGTTATGTTTTTAAGGATATTGAATGTCAGCACTCAGTTTCTTAAATCTATTCCAAGCACTAAACTCAACAGGGTGGTGTTTTGAAGCTACAGGGGTACACTGTTTCTTTAGCCGTCTGTGCATCCACGAGGATAACTGTTTTTATTTGTACATGTTGCCAAACTGTGATACCTCGCCCTAATTATTGTAAACAAAGTGCCACCACACAGTGACTCTTCAGAGATCCGATCTGATGCTGGCTGAAGAGATGCGGTGCTTGTTTCTCAAAATGAACTCACTCTATCCTGTTACATCAAGTCCCTCTTTTTTTTTTTTTTTTTGGTCTCCTTTCAGAAAATTGATTTTCTAGGACTAAAAAAACAAAAACAAATCTGGCCTCTCATTGCAGGCTATGGCCTCAGTGTTGGACGTGAGTTACAAGGAGAGACTTTCCTTGCTGAGATTGTTTCCTTTGAAGAATTTTTAGGAGCCTGAAGTGTTTTTTTTTTCCCTTCTTATCCCTCTAATCATAGTGTGACCCGTCAGCATTATCTCGGGTCTCCTCGTTCGAAATGAACAACACAGTTTTTCTTGTTTTGAACCAAACAGCCATCCTGCAGATTTCACACCAACTTTGACCTGGTGGCACAGATGATTAGAAATGTATTAAAGTGACATCTACATTATTAAAACAGAGGGTTGCCTGCAAATGCTGGCCTTAGTCACGGCTTTATTTTTTTTGTTTTCCTCTCAATAAACAGAGAAAGAAGTCAAAGTGTGTGTGAATTTAGAGAGTAGACAGTTTAGTCTTACTCTTTCTATATTTTCAGTTTTGAACTACAACTGTAATCCACTTTAATTTTAGACTTTTCCTGTGTGAGTATCTGTCTTTATTAAATAAAATAATAATATAATATAATATCCATCCATCCATTCGCTTCCGCTTATCCTTTTCAGGGTCACGAGGAGCGCTGGAGCCTATCCCAGCTGTCATAGGGCGAGAGGCGGGGTACACCCTGGACAGGTCGCCAGTCTGTCGCAGGGCCAACACACAGGGACAGACAACCATTCGCGCTCATATTCACTCCCGCATTCACTCCTATGGGCAATTTGGATTAACCAATTAACCTATCCCCACAAACTGCATGTTCTCCCCGTGTTTGCGTGGGTTCCCTCCGGGTACTCCGGCTTCCTCCCACCGTCCAAAGACATGCAGTTTGTGGGGATAGGTTACAATATAATATAATATAAATGTCTAAATACTACCAGTGGCTGGACTAAAAGACAGCGCAGAGGCACTAATTGTGGCAGCAGAGGAACAAGCTTTAAGTAAAAGATCCAAGGCCAGCCAGTAACGTTTACTTTGGTCCTCTGGAGGTAGTTCTGCAGGAGCGATGTATGTCTTGGCTCATTGTCAAGACATCCATCGAGAACCAGTTTTGCTGCTGCCTGCATGAGGTTTTCTTTTTCAAAATCTTCACATATGCTTCTTCATGGTCCCTTCCACCTTGATGAGATTCCCAGTTCCAGGTGTATTGAAGCATCCCTACAGCATAACACTCCCACCACCATGTTTCACTGTGAGCAATGTTCTTTGAATTGTATGTCTTTTCCTTCTGTCTCCAAACATAATCAGCGTGTCTGTGTCCAGAGAGCTCTAGTTTCGTCTCATCTGACCAAAGGACACAGTTCCAGTAAGCATGATCTTTCTCCAGGTTGTCCTTGGCGTACTTCAGTCTGGCTTGAATGTGTCTTCTTTCTCTTGTCCACGTCACAGTCCACTTATATGCAGAATTCTAGTGATAGTCTTCTTTACGTCAGCAGTCCTGACTTTGCTAAGTATGTCATGTCTTGGCATTTGTTCTGGGTTCTTCAGACACATTTCTCACTAGTTTGCTTTACAGAGTCTTTGAAGTTTTTTCGCTTCCTGTTTCTGCCAGGCTTGTTCTGTACTGTGTGGCTCTCTTTGAATTCCTTGATGATACATCTCAGTCCAGTTCTTGACACTTGGCGGCTTTGTGATAACTTTGTATATCCATCTCCCGCTTTGTGAGCATCCACAATTCTTTTTCTCAAGTCTAAACAGATGTCTTTTGTATTTGGCATGATGTTTTCTCCACTGAAGTTTTTATATTGTGTGTAAATTGGAAGATAACCCTCAGTTTTAAATTGCTTTTACTGCATAGAGCAATACAGAGGTGAAGCACATCATTGCACAGCAGTGGTTTGTGCTATGGCTCAGTAAAAAGGGGACTAATAATATTGACCCTGGTAATTTTTGGTTTTTTGGAAACAATTCTGTGATTATACAAATATAATAGCACTGTTAAAAATTTTATGTGGCCAATGATACATTTACAGCCGATATAAAAGCTTTATTTGTCCACCTAAAGCTTCCTGTTCTTACACCGGGCCTTCACAGCGTGGGTCTGGCACAGGATGTGTGCGATGGCCGTGCTGAAGGATGAGCATGTTTCACAAACAGGCCGAGCAATTATAGCCCGAATAATTATGCGCTGAAGGGGAGACACGACTCGCCCCGTTGATCAGCAAAGTTCATGTGAAGTTATAATTAAACAATAACTCGTTTACAAATGAACGCACACGCGCGTTTGTGTGCTTAAGTGTGCAAAGTGTAATTAGCTGCGATGCATCTGAGTGAAACCGAAACAACAACAATGTCAAATGGTGGAATTATGTTCAGCTCGTGAGCTTGTATCACTGTTATCTGTGTGTGTTTCTGTGTGTGCGTGGAGGAGGTGTGAGTAAAGAGAGACTGACAGATAAGTGAGCGATTGTTGGGCTGATTGGTCCTCACAGGACTCAGAGATGGACCCTGATGTTTGATGCTTCGTACAAACGCATTAAGTGAAGATCACTGTGGAGGGGATGGATGGCTAAAACCTTCGTGTTCAAAATCAATTAGACCCCTGAAATTCACACTGAAACATTGCGTAGTTACACACACAGTGTTAAACTAGATTTCTGTGATCTGAGTGAGATTGTGTATCGCTTTTTTGATATGTATCCACATTTGTCGAATCACACTTACACCTAACAGCCCCCCTGTTAGCAAGTTAGTAAAACCACTAATTGCACATGCTCATCTAGTGGCAGGGCTGAGCGTGCTGAGTCAGCGATGCTCCTTAAATCTCACACTGTACACCCCTACTACATTGCCCACCGCTGGAGACACTGGTTCTGTCACTAGAAGAGAACAAAACCCTCCAATGCTGTCGAGGTAAGTTTACATACAGACGAGCCTTATCTAATGGAGGTGAGACATGACAACCTGACTCGTACTTGTGTAAAAGAGTCTTTCACAATCAGCTTGTAGTTTTAACGCGGAGGGCCCACAGTGAGCACGAATCTGGGCAGGGATGTGGAGCTTGGTGGAGGCTTGAAGAATCACTTGCACTTTGGTCAACCCCACACAGAGACTGGCCAGCTGTGAATGGCAAAGATATAACCAGTGGAAAACTGCTCCACTGCACTTTTATTTAGATTGAATTGTAATTATGAATTGTAGTTGGACAAACTCCCTCCTTTCATGGGGACGCTAACATTAAAGCCTGATTTTATGGAATTAATAAACTGTAACATCTTTTCAACTTTTAACATTTCTGCACATTTAATTTTTCCCATTTTTGTTTTGTTTTTATGAATGAAAAGTAACGTCCTCCATCTGGTCGGACAGTTAAAGGGATGAACAATGAACCTGACTTTCATCTGTCAGCTTAGTGAAATCTTTTTTTTTTTTTTACCTTGCATTAATTGGCATAAGAATATGAACTTAAAAAAATACCCCAACAGTATCCCAACATAATATCCCCAAAGAACAGAGAAGCCTTCTATTCCACGTTTCTGTCGTGAAAGGAAAACTT